ATGCTTGGATTGATCAGGTTCCGGCAAGGTGGCCAGCTCGAGTTGTGCATCGGTTTTCGACTGGATTGTCAGGGCAGCGGTGCAATTCGCATATAATGCCTAGCAAAGAAATAACGCACAATGATTATCATGATTACACTTTAATCGGGATGCACACTCACGGTAGCAATATCCACCGGAAGGGTGGTCAGAATGAGAGCAGGCAACCACCAAGACAACCAGTGCACCAAAATGACCACCTTGTTCTGTGTTCTCCAATTCCCATATCGAAAAGACAGAATGGCCGTGACCACAGCCGTGGCAATCAGATTGAATATAAGGAAAAAATAGGCACCCATTGGCGTGTTACAGATACGAACAGTCCGGGCGATTGTTCAACATCCGTCCAGAGCGACGTTTATTTGGATCTGAAATTGTTCGCGGTAACAGAAAACCGGATGTGAACGAGGTAATCCAAAAGAATTGTTGGTATGAAATACATTTCATCTTTTTGTAAACTCGAACAAAGGAGAAAAAATGAGTACAACTGAGTTGTCCCGCCGAGTTTACGTGGCCACTTTCGGTAGTGAAACCACTCACTTTCAGTGCGCAACGATCGGTAATATACTTCGGGACAGTTCAGATAGGACTTTAAAAAAATATAACTTGTCCTCAATTACAAGGTGGAAACGAAGAAATTTCTTTTCGATATCTCGCTTCAGTCATTTACATATATAGTTCGATTAGTCAGTAGATTAATACAAGTTGAGTGAATGTCTGTGTGCAAAATGTTCGGTGAACAACAACAAGCGATGGAATCCCGATAATTAGAAAGGGAAAATTCCGGTGAAAATGTGTGAACTGGACATGATATGAAAGGTGTTAGCCAAGAATGAATAATGAATGAACAGGTGTGAAAGTGTGCGAAAAAGACAGTAAATGAGGGGTCGAGGGAGAGAATAGAAGGTGTCACATAGAGATATGCGTAATTGTTCTTATGGCCATCGTAACAGCAGCGCCTGGACCAGATTACGTCGCTTGCACAACTCCGGCCTCGTGATCCTAATTCCTATGGGTTCCGCAGTTGTTAGGATCTTCTTACGTAATCCTTTGGTGTACTTCTTAGGTGCAGTGAAGAGACTCGTAAATGATGTCAATCCTGTGTCCGATAACATTCCGAAGTAGCATACAAACGCAATTAGAGAATTGACCAAAATTCCGAATGTTATTCTTTCAAGACCTGATAAAGGTGCAGGATGGATGGTGTTGGACCGATCCGAATGTGGTAAATAATTTGAGGGCTATACTTGCCGCTGACAGCAAATTCAGTCACGATGCCAAAGAGGAGGATAAAAGGCAGCAATTCGAAACAAAACTTAGGGCTGAAAACTACATCCCCAAGGCTACATTTGATAAACTTAGCCCATTTGAATTTCAACCACCGAGACTCTATGGATTACTGAAAATTTACAAACCGGATGTTCCACTAAGACCAGTGATTGACATGAGCACAGTGGATTGTAAGGATTCTTGAGCATTTGCACAAATCGCTAGCCATATATAGCTTAAGAGAATTTTTCGCATTCGTTGATCGTATCAGAAATAAAGGCGTGTCGCATAAGGCCATGCTCTCCCTTGATGTCGAATCCTTGTTCAAAAATGTTCCACTACTGGAGACAGTAGACCATATCTGTCAATACATCATCGAAAACAACATCCAGATCGAAATTCCCGTGACGAAGCTTAAAGAACTCCCACTGAGATGTACTTGGAAAGTAAAGTTTGTGTGCAATCAAATGTACTATCTACAGAAAGATGGTATAGCAATGGGATCCATCACGACGAGACTGTACCTTGACGCGGTGTGGTGGCTTGCGTGCTCAATGACCCTGCGAGCTACACAGGATGGCTTCTCACAGCCTGAGATCCAATCATGTCTGAAAGGTCAACGGGTAGAGGCCAGACGAAGACAAGTCTCACAAGCCCGCTGCTTGGGCACCCCCTGGCTTCT